GTTCTAGGAAGATGGAGCACCGTGTCACACTGCTAGAAACACCCAAAAGTGGCAGGAAGTAAATGGTATCCATAAGTTGTCCTGGCCGAGCCAATCTCCTGACATGAACCCCATCGAAAACCTCTGGGCCATACTCGACCGGCAAGTCAAGAAACAACCAAAAAACCAACTTCGAAGAACAATCTACTTCATGTTTTGAAGCAAGAGTGGGCAAAAATCCCACAATCTAAAATTGACGAGATGATTCTCACGATGCTACAAAGGATCAACGAACTCCACGAAGCGAAAGGAAGATTTACTAGATATTACTTAAATTACAAATATATCAATTCATGTGAATATGACTGAAAAATTTATTTTTTCTGAAAAGGTGGTGTCTATTTACTTGTGTCCATGCTGTGCACATTTAAATTCTGTAAGATAGGTTTGTTTCAAACTGTGAAACATTTTATTGTAGCTTTTCCAGAATGTTTAAAAAAACAACAAAATTTTGTTTTTTTAGTATCATCTTACAAACAATTAACAGTAAAAGGAAAGTAAGAAGAAGTGACTTCTTTGCTTATAAAACAAAACAAATCATTAAATGACATTAAAAATTGTAATTAGTATTATGTTTGAGATGTTTTTTATACAAGAAAATTGTCTTTAAAAGAAAAAAAAAGAGTAAATTAAGGTTTTTATGAGGTTTATTAAATTGTACAAATAATTATTTTTTGATAAAAACCTTTATAGTATCAAAACGTTTTTAGACTACAGTGTTTTTCTAGTCTCCTTTCTAGGTAATCTAATCCATCCATATTCTTTATTGCAGGACACCCATAGACAGTTATATTTAGGTCTTTCTGAACTGCCTGTAAATGTAATCTATACTGGTGAATTTATGAGGAGCTGAAATTAGAAAACTTTTCTATAAAATGGCTTCCAAAGTTTAATAACTTGTAAAGCCAGCCATAATTTAGGCATGAATGTAGACTTGAATGAATCATTTCCATTGAAAATATCACTTATTGTTTACAATCATATTCATTTTGGCTTTTACTGCTGGTTATAATCATGGATCCTAGAATATGGTATTAAAGAGATGATGTTTTAGTACTGTAACGTATTCTTTTAGTTAGTTTATTTATGTTTAGTCAAATAAGAATGAAAATGATCACTCTTTGAGTAACAAAAGCTTGTTGAAATGAGGATTGATGCCAGTTCTTAAAATGATCATTTTAAATATAAAGCTAAAGGTCAATAAATAAACAAAATAGGTTAGTTATTAGGTTATGCAAACTTCAATGTAAATGTTAACATGCATGAGTTTTTCAAAAAAGGTAGTCATATGGGCATACCAACAAGAGGACTAAATTATTCTTTAAGATTTTCTTTTTCAGGATGTTCTTATAGTGGAAAAAATTTCAGAAATCAACAAGACTTCACAGATCCAGATGATCCATGTAGGAAATGTCACTGTCGGGATGGCCATGTGACCTGTAGCCATGTACAATGTTCCCTTATAGATTGTAAATCTTTCATTGAAATAGAAGATGAATGTTGTCCAGTTTGTCAGGGTAATTATGGTTTTATGATTGTGTTGATTAGTCTGTATTGTAGAACACTGTTCAGTAGAGGATTTTTACATGATAGTACAATGGATTACTAGTAGTCAACTCCATTAATAATGTTTATTTGTTTAAAATAAAAAATATCTGTTTTACTCATGGGTTAGACAGTTTATCTTTAATATATAAAGTACTTGTTTTTCCAGGACAAATAAACAAAAAATAAGCTGATAAGACTTTTAAAATTGATAAAACAAAAACATAAACACTGATAAACAACAGCATTTACATCTTTATTTTTTCCAGAGAGTCTTTAAATAAAAGTACAAGTTATACTTAGACATTAAGAGTACATACAGTGTCCTGGCTATAACTCTGATATCAATCTGCAATACAACACAAGCATAAAACTGAGAAGAAACAGACCTCTCAGTATCTGTTAGCTTCACTTTTATCATGTTGCAAAGGGTTTATGCTCAATGGAGTTATGTATATCACAGGCAAGAAAGTATTGTATGTATTTCAGACATTACCACTAGTTTCAAAAGTGCTCATATTTATATGCAAGGGCACAGTAGTTTTAACTGTAACTATTTTAGAATGGTGTGTGTGATATTTCCTTAGAGCTTTAAACAACAAGCTAAGTCCAAAGAACAAGGGAAGATTTGAAAAGATACTTTTTTACAGAATAGTTCAGAATTTTTATGAAACTGACTGAGTTCATCAAAATAAAATAAAATGATACAACACAATGTAAGACACAATGGACAATCATTATTAATTACAAACACAAGCACAAGGTGTATGCTTGCTTTGAATGCTGGACAGTTGCTTATACTGAATTTGAGCTGTTTTTCTTTTCTCCATACTGCATTCAGTGATAACTTTTACCAGACTGACCAAATTTAATAATACTTACTTAAATGATTAACATCAGATATACCCAAAACTACTGGCGCTACCCCTGTGATTGGTTATTCCCATTCAAACATATAGGAGATATCACATGACCTACCATTTTAAGACACTTTTTTACATTCATGCATAAGGTGCAGCTTTAAACCCATACCACACATAGGTAGAATAGATATTACCTCAAGAAAATAACAAAAAACAAAAGTAGCTGGGAGAAATTTAATGACTTTCTTGAACATTGTTATGTGAAAACTGTACATACCAAAATAACTAATAAATTCTGAAAGAACTATATTAAAATATGAAGGTAGTAAATGCATGTTATTTTTATATACCATATGTGAACCAATTTCATGGAGCCTTACTTAATAAAAGATACCCAATAATTTGTTCAGTAAGGAAGTTAAACTAATGTCAAAAAGCTTTTTCTCCTAAAAGAACTTAATCTGTCTTTAGATTTCTGTCACATAATTTCTTGGTGTTGAATAATTTGCTAGATTTTTAATACTAATTTTTCTGGATTTTTTTTAACTTCCCCTTTTGTACAATCCTTGTTTTTAAATCTTCCATTCTTAGTTTTTAAAGTAGTTTGAAATTTAGGTAACTATCTAATCTTCTCACCTTACTCCTCTTTTGTCTCTCCACTTTATGACATAGGCTCTTTTCCTTGTCACTTTAAAAGTTTTCACATTTGCAAAGATGTTCATTGGTGTAACTCAGTTACAAACCTAAGAAACATCAAGGTAGTTCTTATACTAAAACCAGTTACTTCTAAGTGTTAAAACCTCATCTGTTTCATTCAATGAATGTTTTTCTCCTAGTTACAATACTGAAAGGTGTAATAAAATATATTAGTGCATACCTTTTACAAACTGTATAATCTGTCAGCACCTAAAATGTTTTTTGTAATCTTTCACAGGGTTATGGTTCATTTCTCATTGCCATGAAAATTCACTGTACATTTGAGGGTTATGGATGCATTATAAGAGTAATAGTCAAATCCTACTATTCAATTAGAGTAGCTTAAGAGTTGGCAGTGGGAGCTGTTGATTAACTGCCTTCCATCTGACCTATCAGTTCAAAATTGGGGATTTCTAGTGCACATAACCCTTGTGTAGCTTTGTTTGCATATCTGAAACAAACCAAGTTTCATATTATTTAAAACCTAGAATTTTTCATTTAGATGTTAAAAATGATATATATCCTAAATGTACTGAAAAAGCTTTGATATCTTCTTTTTCCCAAGCTGACTGTTTCCATTGTTTCAGTACCCAAACCTAACTCAGTCTGTGTTTTACCATTTTCTGCCTGCTGTGACATTTGTACCATATTATAGATGATGCTATCACCTTTACTCTTGTAGTCACTTTTGCTATTGTATTTCATGTGTTGTGCTGATCTTTTTACTCATTTCTAAAAGGAAGAAATCAAGCAAGTCCAAAATTAGGTTTGTTTTTTTCTATCTTTTCATATGCTTACACATTTTTATTTTCTTCTTTAAAGTGTCTTTGGTTTTATTTATTTGTTATTGATTTTTAATGTCTCCTCTTTCTTGCTCTTCCCACTCGTAAGTCTTTGTTTTTGTGAATAAGTTTACACAAAAGTACTCTAATAATGTGTAAGAATAATATATGTAAGAATATGAAATTGAAATTATGTTTCAAGAAATAGTACACGAATGTAAATAATAAATTATTGTATGATTAAATGAAGAATAAAATAATAAAAAGAAAATAAATGACTTAAAAGAAATTATGATCAATATAAGTGAAACCTATGAATACCATATTTAAAATGATGTGAATAAATTTGTGAAAATCTCTTGCAATTCAATATTTATATTACTTATCACTAAGCTACACAATTTTGTGTTTAAACTTGGAAATTTACTTAACAAAGTGGTTCTATGTTATGTAGGTAAGAAATTTGGTATGTAGTTTGTTTTGGCCAAGTATTAAATCTTAACCAACGGATAATATAAGTTTAACATTCAAATATGCCTCTTTTTCTATGGTGAATATTTGTTGGAGTATAATAAATACACAAAAAATATAATCCTACAATTTTAAAATAAGTTAAAAAAATACAGTGAAAACATTTGTATGTTAATGATATTTTTTCAGTACTTTATTAATGTTATGTTAATAGTGTTTTCAATCTGTTTTTCTAAATACTAACCACTTTTATTTTCTCTTGTTTCATCTCACTTTTCTGATTCACTATATTAATGAACTGAATTGTGCATGGGGTTAGTCAGTTGAACTGACCTCGTACTGAAGAAGTAATGTTGACTATAAATTTGAGTTTATGTAGGTTATGGTATTTTCAGGAAATATAGCAAGCTTTTAGTCAACAGTACAAGTCTGTTTTTGTACTAATATATGTCTGTGATGAATAAAAATACTTTTGTCCATCGTACAATTTCAAATTGCATTTGTATAATCTCTAACAGCCTCCTAAATGCATATCTAAAGCTTTTTCAGTATCTCTGTATATTGTTTCTGGTATTTTCTCTACTTTAACACAAACACTTTAAAATCAGCAATGTAGGGTAATGTGAAATGTTGATAACTGACATTAAATACACAATACCATGTTGAATGGCACTCTGTACATGGTTGTGACATGCACACTTTATCCCCACCCATGCACATAAGGTTACGTTCTATTAGTTGTTATCTATTTTTACCTTTAAGACAATTAGTAAACTCTGTCATCAAGTAAGTGTCCTAGTATTTTATCCTACACTATTCTCTGCTTTGTTTATTTTAACATAGTCAAGGGTTGTTGGTGAGGGATGGAATGTTATGAAATATGTCTAACCAAAAGTAGGGGTAAAAAAATAATTTCAGAACTTTCAACATGCTAAGCTCTCTCATTATAAACTGATGAAGAAGGCTATAGATACATTTTTATTTTTATTAAAAGATAATATAGCTTAAGAAGAACTTTAAAATATTAGAAATATTAGACCCTGTTTGCAAATAGTATGCTAGAGATAACTATCTTAATAAAAACAGGTTTCCTTAAAATATAGAGTCCACCATTAAAACTCTTGAACTTTGGTAAAAATTCTATGCTAAGTCTGTTTTTGATATAAAATATCTTTGTCTTAGATTAAAATTTTGTAATTGTTTTGTGGTACAGTTTGTTTTTAGTAGCATTAAAGGTGAACAATTTATGTATCTCATATATGTCCAACGAGCATGCTTCAACATGAAAAGGGAAATTTGTTTGGCTTTTTTTATATTTAATTAATATTTCATTGTGTAATTGAATGCACTGTTCTGTGATGTTGTTTCAGACTGCCTGCACAAAAATCAAAGATTTTCTGATGGAGAAAGCTTCACTGACTCTACAGACCCTTGTTTAACTTGTCAGTGTAAGAATCAACGGGTAGTATGTTCTAGACAGATCTGTCCAAAAGAAACATGTTTACATCCATTGATTACAAAATGTTGCAAAGAGTGTGTAGGTGAGATTCTGATTTATATGTGTTGACCTATGTAGGAGCTTTTTTGTTATTGCTCTAACAGTTTTTATTCTGTACATAAAATTAGCATCTTCAAATGCCTTGTTTTTCAGATGTTGCTTTTTTACAGTAATAACAACAACATTCATTCATTGATACTGTTTTTGCTGCTACATCTTTAAGGAATGTATCTTATAACAAAGGTTAATATGTAAAACGATATTTTTACCATGTTAGTCTCTTTCATTAAGATTTAAAAAAGACATAGATTGCAATAATTATGTATGTTCACATTTCTACAATTATAATTGAAAACTATTTTCCAATTATTTTATGGAATAACAAGCTATGAGTAATCTATTTTTTATGGTATAAAATACTTGTATATTGAAATATCTAAAAAACAATTTAGCAAAAGCACTTGCAGTTTCAATTCACATGCTGATATACTTTTGTGGTTTATATATATATGTACAAACTCTACACTTTTAAGAACTCCATGTGTAATTCTATGCCACATATAACTGATAATATTAATATTTTTCAGTTTATTATTGGAGCACTAGTTAATCCATTTACTGCAGCTTATACATATGGCTTCTTTTTACTGTATCAAATCAGAGTCAATGCTATATAGTAAATCCATAAATTGATTGGACTTTTCTTAGCTTTGACAGTGCTTGCTGCCATGGCAGTGAGAAGTTATCATACATTCCTCTTTAAGATCTTGAGAGGAAACTGATGCCTATAAGACAGAAATAATTGACTTACTATATGGCAATGTATAGCAAAATGTCTATGAACAACATTAACATAAAACTTTACAATTCAACACCTCATATGGGAAATTTAGAAGCAAGAATCCACATGTGTACCAACCACAGTGAACAGAAAAACATTTAGAGGCCATATATGTACCAGCTGCAGTAAATGGATGGAACAAAGGGATTTTTACCTGTTTTCATTAAATGAATAGTTTTTCCCATTTCTTAACCTTTACATTAGAACTGATTGCATAATTTTCAGATCAGCTATTAGTTTTCATACTGATTTGCTGGTATTTTCTAGATTGTTTCTTTGAAAATAGAAAGTTTCCCAACAGGCTGTCATTCCAAAGGCCCTCTGATCCTTGTCAGACCTGCATGTGTGAGGTGTGTCAAGTATTTTTCTTGTTTCGATTTGAAGTTAATTATTTTCAGTTCGATTAAGTTTATAATGATTAATATAACATTCAGCAATGAACAATCTATTTATTATAATGTACTTTCAACCAAAACTAAAAAGAAAGAAACTCTTGTCTTTAAATATTTTACTATCAGTAACTTTGTAAATGTTCACTAATTAATGTTTTGGAATAATTTATTGAAAAAGTGGTTAATTAAAACATATTAAAAAGTTATGATCCTAATGATATTTGTTTATGTATACTGTAAATATAGTAGTGTCAATGTGATTTTAGGTTTATAACTTAAGTTTTAGCATTATTAAACAGCTTCTTCCCTTTATGTATCAGATGCAGAAAAGTGGGGGGAACAGAATCTGTCATAATGTCAAACTTTACAGGTTTTTTTAAAGTAATATATCATAGACTAAAGTGCAGAAGGAACTTTGTAAGTTTATGTGGATGTTTTTCACAAAAGATTTAAATAAAGACAACTTCACATATTCTCAGTTACTCAAGGTATAACACAGAGGTCTATCAAAACATCAATAAAGACAACTTCACATATTCTTAATTACTCAAGGTATAACACAAAGTTCTATCAAAACAACAATAAAGACAACTTCACATATTCTCAGTTACTCAAGGTATAACACAGAGGTCTATCAAAACATCAATAAAGACAACTTCACATATTCTTAATTACTCAAGGTATAACACAAAGTTCTATCAAAACAACAATAAAGACAACTTCACATATTCTCAATTACTCAAGGTATAACACAAAGTTCTATAAAAACAACAATAAAGACAACTTCACATATTCTCAATTACTCAAGGTATAACACAAAGTTCTATCAAAACAACAATAAAGACAACTTCACATATTCTCAATTACTCAAGGTACAACACAAAGTTCTATCAAAACAACAATAAAGACAACTTCACATATTCTTAATTACTCAAGGTATAACACAAAGTTCTATCAAAACAACAATAAAGACAACTTCACATATTCTCAATTACTCAAGGTATAACACAAAGTTCTATCAAAACAACAATAAAGACAACTTCACATATTCTCAATTACTCAAGGTATAACACAAAGTTCTGTCAAAACAACAATAAAGACAACTTCACATATTCTCAATTATTCTACTTTGAATCACACTCTCCCTATTAAAATGATACAGGGTTTACAATTTGTTATTGCTTTATATATCAAATTATGAATATATATGAAAATGAGCTGCTGATGAAATTTACTTCTAAGTATTTATAACTCTTTGGTTACATCTGTGGTTTATATAAAATGAGATCCTATATGCTTTTCACCTTCAGACTTTACGAAAAAGTAGATGGTTAAAAAATCAACTAGGTCGTTTATTTGTTGAAGATTATTACAAATGTATAGCTACCAACATGTATTTAATAACGTTTTGTTTTTATGCTTAATTCTTAAACAGAATGGAACTGTAAGTTGTAAGTCCAAAATCTGTGAAGAACTTGAATGTACTCACCCCTTCCAAGGTCGTTGTTGTCGAGAGTGTGGCTCTGACTGTAAATTTAGAAATCAAAGGTATAACAATTGGCAAGTATTTCCAGATCCATTTCATCCATGCCTTGAATGTGAATGTAAACTGGGTAATGTCACATGTAGAGATAAACCCTGTCCTTCTGCACACTGTGACCACCCTTTGAAACGTCACTGTTGTGAAGAGTGTGAAGGTAGGAACTGTAATGTTTTTGTTATTTTATAGTCAATATTACATAGCATTTAGTTGGTGAGATTGTAATAGATTGAAAATAATTATTACGTCAGCAATAAATTAATATCGCTTTTTTTTTTAGATGAAGAAACCCGAACAACTTATATATCAAAACAAAACATTTATTAAATGAAATAGTCTGCATTCTTATCGATGATGCTTTTCAATCTTACAGTCAGGTTATTAATTCCCATATTAAAGAAATCACTTGACTTTGAAGCAAAAAACATATCACTGTCCTCTTTATTACTTTCCACATTTGCATACGTTTTCCTATTAAGATGGTGTTGCAGTAAATGAAAAAAATGATAATCTGATGGTGCCATATCTGAAGAATATGGTAGGTGGGGGAGAACTTCCCAACCCAACTCCATAATCTTGTGTTGCATCAAACGTGCCACATGTGGATGTGCATTGTCATGGAGAAGAACACCTTTCTGATTGACGAGCATTTCTGATGAAGCGCTTGACTTAAACATTCCAGTTGCTGACTGTAGATCTCTGCATTGACAGTTCGCTGTGGATTGAGGAGTTCAAAATGAATTACTCCTTTGATGTCCTCCCACCAAATGCAAAGTATCACCTTCTGTGTATGGAATCCAGGATTTTGGGTCGGAAGTGGTTTTTGTCTAGGACTGAGCCATTGTTTTTGGCATTTAATATTCGCATAGAGAATCCATTTTTCATCACTGGTGACAATTCTGTCCAAAAATTGTTCGTGCACATTATGTGCCAGAAGAGGTTAAGCAATGTTCACACATTGGAAATGATGATCATCGGAGAGTTCGTGAGGCACCCAAACAAATAAAATACACATAACTTATATGTTTTAGGTGGTGTTACTTGTTGGACCCTAACTATATATTTTTAGTAAATATTGTGTTCTATGTATGAGTGTTTAATATATATATATATATATATACACACACACACATTGTATAAACCAAACATTACAATAAAACTAAAATTGAACAATTATTTTCCATTATCAGTCCTAGTTGTCAACATGAAGTCATAATGAATAACTTTTGTGGTCATAGCACCCGAATGTATTGAAGTTAATGGTTATAAGGTCTGGCATATAAAAAAAATGTTTATACTTTTTTTATAATAAATATGAAATTATCTTAAAAAGTAAATTATCGAATATGGAAACTACCTTGTGGAGAACTTAGAAGTCATTACTTATTCATTGGCTTATAAGTAACTAACTTTAAAATACTTAGATTTTTGTTTAGTATACCAGGACTAACTTTAGGTAGCTGGGCTTGCCTCAGCTGACCCAAGTTATACATGAACAATTATTCAAGAGAAAGGAAGGAGGATGGGGAATTAAAAACTAAGGTAGAGTTTTTAGTTGTTTAACATCATTTTGTAAATAAAAGGGTAGAGGTTGGGAATTTTACCATGTAAAATTTTTATGGTGGTCTTATTTCTGCTTTAAGGTTGTATCTGAGAATTAAGTGTTACTGCCTTCCCACAACTGTCTACAGACAGTGAAAGGTAGTAGGAGCTGAGACATTGTGGGTGTAAGCATTCATCTCCTAACCCCTAACTGATTTTGTATAGCTGCTGGCTATTTTAAGACCAAAATCTGGATTTTGTCTGATGGATGGAATATTCCCAACACATTTGGGTACTATGACCATGTACATTATCCATTAGCACTTAATGTTGACAACTAGGACTGATAATGGAAAATAATTGTTTAATTTTCGTTCTAGTGTAATGTTTTATATTATATGTATTATATTGTTTTATATTAAGGTCATTATTATTTTACAGTGCTGATTTAATCACCTATTGACAATTGATGTTGATAGTATTAGTACTGATTTTTATATATGTGTATAAATTTTATCAAGGAGGATGTATAGATAAGATTACATCAGTATTCAAGGTATCACATGATTTAATTTCTGGAGATCATATCCTGAACTTCAGCTTGATACATCATATATGTTGCAGAGTTAATACTGTTTGCTCTTATATTGTTCTTCTTAACTTCTCTATATTTTATGTGCACAGTGTCACCTAAAAATAGAGCTTACATTACTGTGAAAAAAATTATTAAAAGTTTGAAGTGTATTTTGTACTAAAAGTAGAATATCCTTTTTTTAACTTATTGAAAGTTGTTGGATTGAACATAATTTATCTGCTTATGTAAAAATATGACTAATTTTTTTAAAAATTATTTTATGATTTTTATAATTTAATATATAGAACTCTGTAAATAATCCTTTTTTCAGATTGTTTTTACCTTAACCGAGCTATATCCAATGGCCAGACATTCCGAGATCCATCAAATGTATGTAATCAGTGCACTTGTGAGGATGGAAACATTTATTGTAAGAAACATCCATGCCAACCAGTTTCATGTCAGCATCCAGTTTCAAATGGATGTTGTCTTGTATGTAATAAAGGTAAGTTTCATTATACCTTTCTTTCATCCTATATAGTAATGGCTCATAATATTACAATACAAGAAATCCAACAACAAGAGTGCTTTTAGAAAATCGACTTTTTTTCATCACTAGCACGTTGCAAAACTAACTCAGCAGTAAAGATGCTTTCTAACAATATTTTTCTGTTTTCTTGTTACAGACAGAATTTAGTTCATCATTGAAATCTTTTGCATTATATAACCTCTAATACATAAAAACCTACCTGTAAGATTCACAGAAAACTGTGTATTTTTGTCATAATTTGGAGTATACAAGTATATGCAGTTATGGATATTTGTTATATTGCTTAATTTTTAGTTGATTGAGAACTTAAGTTAGAATTTATGTTTTAAGTATTAATCTACTCCATTCATTTGAAATCCTATTTAGATTATATTTATTCTTTTCTCAAATTGAAATAAATATTTTTCTGTATACTGTTTTTCTCTTACAAAGTCAATTTATTTTCAGTAATCTAAGCATGTAAAGTTGTACAAAAGTCGAACTTAATATAAAAAAATTAGTTTTTATAGTAAAGATTTGATTGATGGCTTGATACTATTCTAGAGAAGTACACAGATAATATTTTAGTATTGGTCTCACATTAATCATTTTTAAGGCTTTGAACTTTGCTCACATAATTTTCTGGATTTTTTTCTTAATAATTCTTCCTATCTTGTGATCACTGTACAGTAATTAAAAAAATAAAACAATCATGGTAGTGTACTACAATAATAGCTTTCTTATATAAAGATTTTTCACTAATATGCATCATTACTTCTAATAAACTGTGTTTATCTTTATTTTATAGGGTGTTTTTTTGAAGGAAAGAAGTATGTAGATGGAGTAAAATTTGAAAATCCTCATAATACATGTCAACAGTGTTTGTGTTTGGTAAGAGTTTCTCTGAAATTTTTAATAAACAGAGAATCTACAACAAATCTTTATGAGTACAAAGTTGTTAAATATGAAAAGAACCTTTCGAATAAGTTTTTCCTTGTCACATAATTTTTATCCTATGTCATAAAGGATCTTAAATGTTGCAAACCCTCATGTGGCTTGAATAAAATTGATTTTAATTATAAAGTGATGAATAACACATGTTTAGTCACTTTCATTTTGTATAATGCTCCACAACTATTTTTGTTTTGTAAATTATGTAAGAATTATAAAACTTTTTGTTTTTTATGGTATCCCTAAAGGGACATTGTGAAAATATAGATATTCATATACATACTATCTTGTACTGTTGTGAGCATGAGATGCTTTTTTGTACTTTCCAGATTCTGTTTAGTGCACACTAGATACTATCTTGTATTCTTCAGGTATTATCTCATTGCCTACAGATTATATTTAGTGCACACTAGATACTATCTTGTATTCATCAGGTAGTATCTCATTACCTACAGATTCTATATAGTGCACACTAGATACTATCTTGTATTCCTCAGGTATTATCTCATTACCTACAGATTCTATTTAGTGCACACTAGATACTATCTTGTATTCATCAGGTAGTATCTCATTACCTACAGATTCTATATAGTGCACACTAGATACTATCTTGTATTCATCAGGTAGTATCTCATTACCTACAGATTCTATTTAGTGCACACTAGTACCTATCTTGTATTCATCAGGTAGTATCTCATTACCTACAGATTCTATATAGTGCACACCAGATGCTGTCTTGTGCTCACCAGGTATTATCTCACATGCATCAGATGCTATCTCATACTCATGAGGTATGACCACAAGATAGTATCTGGTGCATAGAAGATTGTGTGTGTATGTATATATATATATTTTTTTTCCACAGTGTTAATTTAATCTAATGCTTTTATATATATATAATTTTGTCTAGTAATTACTTTTTAAAGATAATAAAATTATTTGCCATTCAACAATGATTTTGGATTGATTCTTTCCAACTATAGTTTATTTATTTGATTGTTAGAATAGATAAATTATTGTGATTTTGCAGTGATAACCTATGATGTCTTTATAAACACTCCAAATGTAAATAAAAACTTCTTACTTTCTAGATTTAAGTTGTTTTGTAAGTATGCTGATTAAACTCCGAATTATATTTCATCAACACATATTAGTACTAAAGTAGTAATTTTATCCTCCTGCACCATAAGGTGCATAAAGTACTTGTTTCATTATTGTGCTGCTCTGTTCAGGTTTCTAATTGTCCATATACCTTCTTTCTATGTAATGTTTCTCTAGGTCATCCTCATTTTCTCTTTCCTGGTGGTATCTATGTTATCATTTGATGTAAAAATCATGTTGATGGGTTTCTCAAAGAGTGTTCTAAATATCTCCTTAATCATCTTGCCATATTTAATGTTTTAAGTTGGCTTGCTCTATATAGTATTTATGATGATGTAAGAAACTCTTTCCAGTAGACTTAAGCAATCATGTGCAGACATTTTCTTTGAAATGAGTTGATATTCATATAAATTTCTATTGTAAATTTTCATGACTACTCCATAAAGGAGAACAGACATGATGCTGGTGTTTTATTTGTTTATCAGTTCTGTTCTTGCTACTTTTTCTAATCTTTCTAGTTTATGAAAAATGTTGCCTATTTTGATGTTTGTTGCTTAGCATCTAGCACATCATTGCACAGTTCACTCTCTGGATAAGAAATATGGCTTTCTTCTAAAGGCATGGAAAATCCTTAACTATTTAAACTTTGATTAATATCTTCAAAATTAACTCATTAATTATAATTTTGGCTCAGTAAGTGCATCTTAATGAGGTCAGTAGATTTTAAGTTAACCTATCTGGTAGTCTGTTCATTAACTTAAAAGTTAGTGTGAACCTCATCATGTTATTACAGTTCATGTTGCTATGTCCAGTCATGCACTGTATGATTATTGTGCATCTTGACAATGGCCCTACAGAGTAATTTTCATTCCAAAAGGCCTGTTTTGTATAGATGTCTTATCGAAAGTAATCTACTCCTTCCTGCTTTTCTTCCATAATCCAACCAGTGTATGAGGATGATGGTTTTTTCATTATTCATTTCAACAGTCAGGTCACACAGAAATCCATAGGCACTGCATTCGGTGACTCTAGTGATATATATTCATATGTAATAGCATGAATATTCGATGACGAGGAACCCACTTTGAGACTAATAATGGCTGGAGACGGCTTAATAGGTAGTAGTAGAGA